GGTGTGATGATGGTTGTGCCTTGTGTTGGAGGGGGAGAGGTCTTGGTGGTGCTGGCCCTGCTAATGGTAGTGATGATGGTCGTGCCTTCTGTTGGAGGGGCAGTGGTACGGGGGAGAACCGTGGTGCCAGCAGTGGTTGTCGTTGCTGGCTGGGGGAGGGTGGAGGCAGTAGTGGGTGATGTTGGAGTCTGGGGTGCCACAGTGGAGGTTTCTGCTGGAGTTGACATGGTCTGGTAACCTGTTGTTGAGACATGCGATGTCTTTGCTGTAGCTGAAGTTTCAGTCAGAGGAGTCGTGCTTTCTCTGTCTTTTGGTGACATTGTAGGTACTTTGGTTTCTTGCGCTTCAGTTCCTTGTTTTTCTTTTGTTGGTTTTATCTTCGTCTGTAATGTAAATGGTGTTGATTTTACAGCAGTAGTTGTTGTGAATTCTTCTGTGGTTCTTGGTGTTGCAGTTCGTATTTGTGAACATGGTATGTAGCTGCAGCATGATATTCTGATTTCATAATTATAGCAGTGCCTAGATTGTTGGTCTTTGTTATTGCATATTAATCCTATGCTTTGATTACATTGTACGGTTTGGTTAAGATTGTTTATTTCTGTATCTGGGTGTTCTTTGGCTCTGCATTCAACACCATTTGGGTTTTCACACACACTGTATCCTTTATCTCTGAGATTTTGAAATGTTTCATAATCTCCACTGTCCTCTTTGTTTTCAGGCTCTGTGCAATCATACCATTCTGACCATGCACATATGTTCTTCACACATACAGTTGTCACTGGTGTTGCGGTTGTCATTTCTGTAATTAAAAGGAGGAAATGTAAATCTTGTCTGTTCTTATTAAAGAAGGTGCCAGGAAAAAATTATTCATCTTCCATACATTTTAATGTTGTATGTAATATTATATATGTTAATGTAGTATTTTAATTTCAATGAACTTGCTTTGACAGTCTTGAATTTCATTTCTAAGGTAGGTTTTGATCTCAAGTCTGTATTATTTTTCTAGTGGTACTTTATGTGACATTTTTGAAAAAAATGTAGCTAAATATAGCTAATATGACACCCTTTGGGTGGAAAGTCAATGCATAGGATAACGTGATCTCATGATTGCTATTGGTATAAGTAAGAGGAGGTTTTATTCTTCTTGGTATTATCTCTGTACTTATTTACATTTAACTGCATAACCTCACAGTCTTTAAAATATTTTTACAGGTTAATGACTTTTCTACTTATTTTAATATTATAACATGTAATATATTTATAAATATAAAGCATAAAATATATATTTCACATGTGTATTTTATATATAATACATTATAATATAGAATAGACGTATACAATATATATGAAATATATAATAATTATTTTCTGCTTATTTTAATAAGATTTCTTTTCATATTCTTAGCATTATGAAGATATGTGGAATACATACCACTTTCTTCATATGAATGTTACTTAATAGAAGACCTAAAGTTGAATATTTAGTTCTTGCTGTAGTATTGTATAATTTTGTTGAAATATTTCTCACAATTTCTCAGAATTACATGGTCCCTATAATGAGTTAACTGCAGGAATAATGTAGAGGTGTAGTGTAGGACTAGAAGGAAACTGTTGATTTGGTTATTAAATACAATTAGGAAAGGTTCCAAAGAATGGTTTCAAATAATTTAAGCATTCCCTCAAACTAGATTTCTTATCTTTAGTTTGCGCTAATGTAGTCAGTAATTTAAAAAATGGCAGTAATTGTCTTTTGTGTTTTCAGAAGTTGGTCTAGAACTGCTGGTTTTTGTTTGCAAGGAAGTGAGGAGATTCTCCAGGGTGCAGTGACTAATAAGCTCTGTTATTTTTTTTCCCCTGGAAAAAACATGATGAAACAGTGGAGACTGAGTTTGTAAGAAATGCTGTGCTCATTTCTTGATTATGGTTGTCTTTAGCAACTGAAGCTCCCAGTGAATTGGTGGCTCCAGCAGAAGTCAACAGTTTCAAGTGAAATTATATGCCATTAACTGATGAAAGGGCCCTTCCTTTCAGGGAATTTTCAGTCCCTTCCAGAGATTTTTCAGTTATTTTAAAGAGTATTCATACGTACCTGCAGTTGTGGGCTGACTTGTAGAAAATGGAAACGGGATGTTTGTAAGTATGTCACATTTAGAGATATTTCTGTTTATTGTTCCATTGACATCACATGTTGCATTGAAACACCATCCAGCTCCATCTGTGATGTTGTAGATGAGTTCACCATATTTATATCTCTTCTCTTCATAAATGCAGTGACATGCTGTAATGCAGAAGTTTATTGTCAGGCATCTATGAAAAGATAATATCCAGTATTTCATTTTCTTAATAATTCTTCCTAGCTTTCTTACCTTTATCATCAAATTTGCACTGTAAACCTTCTGATGTGCATTCACTGAAATAAAAAAAAAACATAAAAACCCACATATTTTTTGATTATGAGGTAATTTTATTAGTCATCTTTCTGCCAGATACTATCATCAAAAGACAGGACACTTTATTTGTGTTTATTTCTTGTGTGTCCAGTTCATGTTGGCTTCTTTTTTGCCATTGTTTTCCAAAATCTTTCTTTATATTAAACCCAAACTTATAAATAGAAGTGAAGCTAAATATTATGCAAAGCTACAGGTAGAAGTCTTGAGGAAGACTTTCCTTCTTTCCTCCTTATCTCTTTCCTTGCGCTTGCAATGTTTTTGTACTAAAAAGAAGGCTAAAAAGGGAAAGAGTCTACATACTACAAGCAGTGTAAGAATGTAATAAAATCCTTGGAAGTAGATCCCTATTAGATATCTATACTCCTGGAACAGTATTTTTCCTGCCATAGGAATGGGAAATAGAGAAAGCCTCATCATAAAGGACTTACTGTTCTTGTGGTATCTTTATGCTGAGGATTTACAACATAATCAGGAACAAATTCAACAGAACATAAAATCACATAAGAACTTCTTACTACTAATGTAGTAAGAAAACTGGCATTAGATAGTAAGGCATTATTTTTACACAGGCAGCATAAACTAGTCCTGTTATGTAACAGGAACATGCAATTTCCCACTGCTGTTTCGATCGTTTTTCCTTGTACACGATTAGGCTGGTATGTTAAGTCTTACCATAAATGACATTCATCCCGTCTATATATCTTTCCATTTTCATTATCATAACAGTCACAGAGACTGACGCACTTCATATCATCCTCATGAAAATATGGCTTGTCTGGTGGGCAGTTAGGGTAGCAGCCTGAAGGAAGGAAAAGGGCATACAGAAGGTAGAAAAGGCGAGAATGAGATACAGTCAGCAAAAGTTTTATTTGTACAGAATGTGTTTGCAGGTCTTGTTTTTAACAGTCATAATTTTTACTACTTAATTTTTTCCAATAATTCTACGAAGTAATGCAGAGTACCAGCATGAGCAGAGCCCACCCACAAGGACTTAGTCCTAGAGATGGTTTTAACTCCAATTTCCATATTCTGCTTCCATTCATGTGGATGCAATGATGTTGAAGAGAACTGAATGGTGCAAATGCAGCTGATGGGGGAAATACACTCCATTAAAGACCATTAAAAATATAATAAAATGTACCCGCTTAAAGGTACTTGCAGCTCTTTTTACCTTCTAAACCTGGCAAGTTATGGAGGCATTTTCCACTTGGGTTCCTACAGGTCTTCATACAGGAGGCTCCACAAGGCTTATAGTGCCATTCACATTCCCCTTGTTGATTGTAGTAATCACAGAACAGTGCTAAGGAGAAATAGAAATTTGGACATGTTCAGAAAAAAAAAAAAAAGAGCTTTTTTTGACTCATGTCTGTTCATCATATCCCTCCAATGCTGCTTGAACAGTCTTGAAAACCGTGAATAGGTGAAATTGTGTGACCATCAAAACAGCTTAGTGTGAAAAGTCTACATAGTGAGATTATAATGCATATACGTAAGATACCCAGAGTGTGTGATCAAGGACATCAGCAAGGCACTGTCCATTTAACTACACTCTCAGAAGAAGTGTTTATGACATAAAACTCACGACAGATTGATGGGGTTCTCCAGGCTACGCAGACACCAACTTCACTACATGCTTGAGCATAGGCAGCTACTGCTGTACAAAAGCAATCACAGTCTCCTCCAGTGTCACATGCACAAGCATCTGTCACACATGCTTGGTAATATTTTGCTGGTTCAACCTGTTATTAAAAAGAAATGTAATACTATACATCCTGCCTCCTAAATTCTTTCTTAGCTTTGCTAGGGTAATTTTCTAAAAATTGTAATATCTCAGAAGAAAGGCCTACATCAGTAATTTCTTTTTCTTTTGCTTATATACACTGTTAAACACCAGAGGTGATGCCAGATGATACATCCAAATCACGTAATGACAGATTTTTAGATGCCCAAACTTGTGTCCTAGTGGAAGATTAGATTCATGTTCCCAAGCAATACTAGGCAACTACACTTGAAAATGAAGGTCTCTGCCAATGGAAAGAACTAAGGTAATAGGAAGAGCACAGAGCTACCCTGCATTGTTTGGTATGTACTTAGTGTCAGATAAAGGCTATGCTGATACTTCATTACTATGTTATTTTTTCATTAAGCTTGTGTTCTGTACATGGTATATGAGAATTTTTATTCAAGTCACACTACAAGAAAATACACAGTAATTATGAAATTATTATTCTTTCGTAATAGATTGATATTTCCTATGAAGTAAATGTCCTCTTATTTCTTACAGGTAGGGACTATAAATCTGTCCCATTGAGCGGGATTCAAATTGAAGTTTTCCTGACACATTTCAAAGTGAAACATGCTAATGAATTAGGCATGCATGTTAAAATGTATGAGGATAGCAGCTTCAATAACACACAGACCTAGTCTTCACACAGTAACTTCTGCCCTGGGTAGTACCTGAGAGTGACAGGCAGCAAAGATGTTGCTGTTGATGATGCTACACTGCTTCTCTGACCAGGACTTTCGATAAGGGTTGGTAGAACATGGATCCTTTATGCTGTAAGCATCAGGACATGTAGAGGATACTTTCCAGCTGTTTCCAAACTCTAGGACATTCTCTACCACAGACTGACTCCTTGTAGTAAAGTCATTGATGCCGTTGCCATCGTAATTTCCACAGAGGCCACAGATCTGGCCCTGCAAAAGGAAGTAAATAAAATAATAAATGGATGTGAGGAACTTGAAACGACATCTGGGACTGAAAGAATACTTGAAATTCAGCTCTTAGAATGGTGCCATTCCATTCTAACATTCCTGAACATCTTCATCCTTTGTTTCCTCAGCAACAGAACAACTAAGGCTAGAAGGATACTGCTGTTGACTTTTCTGCTTTTAAATCTGAACACTAAAACCATCTTTGTCATTGTAACCTTCTGTCTTTGAGGTGTGTCTTTAACAAACAAATAAGGACTCACAGTTAGCCAACTAAGCCTTTAATTCAAGCCTTGTTTTATACAATAGATGTACATATAAAAAACAGCCTTACAAAGCTGTCATAAATACTACCAGTCCAGCCACGTAGTCTACTCTTTGAGTCTTTACTGTTATGACTGCTCACAGGTATAAAAAGAAACAACATTCTCCTTGCACATCCAGAAATATCCCTCATTCTAAATTTATGGATCTGTAAAACTGTGATAGGCTACAATAGATGCTATGCTTTCTCTATGAATCTAAGGTGCATACTTTCCATATTACTACTATTTTTATAAAGTGCCAGTGGGTGAGGCAGCAAAAGAACCTATGACACTTAAATAACTTTGCATATCTAGTTCTAAATTACACTTAATTTATATACCTAATTGAAATGTCATTGTGTTATACAATAAGATAGCAAATTCCTTATTTACTACAGTTTTTAGTACTTACAAGCTAGGAGAAGGAATGTGACAACAGGAATACATTTTCCTTATCAGCTGTGTAGATATATGCTTGAAAAATACATGGTAGCATTTTACAAAAGGCTTTCACTCATAATATTTCACTTCCTTATTCTTGAAGTATGATAATTTTATTTGTGTGTCAATGAGAACAGGAAACAGGATTACTTTCAAGATCAAGACTACTCAATTGATTTCTACACATGTAGCTATGTAATTTTAATAAGGTCTGATAACCTTTACGAAGGTTCAGTGGGTAACTTTAACAAAGCCAAGTCCAAAAAAGCAATTTGCCAACTCTGTTCTGTCAGGCCAAATAGGCACTGAAAGCTACCTTCAGAGCTCAGAACAGCAGCAAGATGATGACATGGCTTCTGAGGCACCAGAAGAATGAAAAACAACATGGGATGTCCTGCAGGAATGCTAGTGACATCATCTGTTTGGGATCTTGGCAGGGTCTCGACAAAATTCACACCCAGTCCAAATCTGGACTATAAATTGCCATTTAACTGCTAGTTCCGTACCTTAAAATCAGGGCTGAGCTTGATGAAGATGCTGGTTTTCTTGTCCCACATGAGGATCAGTCCGTTTGTGGTCTCAATTACCAAGTACATACCCATATAGCGGACTGTGTATGGTACCTCATTGTTTTGTCCTCTCTTTACGACACTGACATGCTCCTCACCAAGTATCAGTTCATAGCTCTGAAACAGGAGGAAAAGGTGATTAGAAATGAACTCAATAGCTGCAGCTGTGCTCTTACACGTTTTTCTGCTTTTAAGAGTACTATATATAGTTTATATAATGAAAACAAATAATCCAAATGCGATAAATCAAAACTATATAGTTCAAATCTCAGGTTCCTGGAACTGTGGTAAAAAGGTATTTTAAATGGCGTAGGTCAAAAAAGGGTGTTTTCATACTCATGGAGGAACTACCTTGCACAGAATAAAATAATCTTCTGCCATGACAGGCTAAATTTCTGCCAAAGACAATTTTCCTGTAGATCTGTAATTTGCCCAAGAGTGGTATAAGATAGGGTGGGAAATTGAAAAGATATAAAGCTGAGAAGCTCTACCAAATATTTCATTTGAAACTGATTTAAGCTTAATTTACAAGTTGATTTGCGTTTTAAAATATTTTTCCAACTTCCTTGAAGCAATGGATACCTAGGCTTCTCCTAAGCCCTAAACAGATACAGAACAAAACTGGTCTATATGCAAAACCTCCTTACCTCTAAGAAAACTTTGATAGATTTTGAGCAAGTTGTCCCAGTGTTGCCACAGGGAATATTTTCAGTGATAATCCTGAAGGTCCCATTGGCTGTGCCACTCTTCCCACAGTGGTCCTGGGCAGAGAATAACATTTAAAAACATGTTAATTTTGCAGACAGGATCAAGGTTACGTCTCATTTATTATTGCTAATTATCAGTACCTGAACTAGTGTGTATTCACAGTTTCCATTGAAGCTGAACCTTTTGTCATCAAAAGTATTATAATGACCATCTCCATAAACAGCACAAGTGCCCAGACATTGGTTTTTGGTGCATTCCCACTTCCTATTCTTGCATACACTAGGAATGAGAATAAAACATTTTAATAATAAAACAACTCACTGTTTTGTTTAGACATATTCCAACAACTCAGTATTTGTTGGGCCACTCATCCCTGGTAAATGTTATATTGATTCTGGAGTTAAAATAGTCTTTTATATTTTTCATGTAAAGAATTAAAGCAAAGTTCTGTTCTGCTACTCTGAATGCATTAACTGCAAAATAGGATAATACCTAATGAACACTGTAGTCCCAAAGATTTCCTCCCATTCTGTGCTTTGGCCATCTGCCTACATCAGAAGGAAACCTGCTCATACTGTTCAATCCAAAACTAAAAGATCCATCAGTTGATGAAATGTGCAGTCCAAATCTTTCCTCACTGCTGTACTATTTAAGGTCTTTGGAAAGGCAAATTATGGAACCAGGAATGCTACTTCCAAGGAAATATTTACCAGGTGTTACAGTCAACGCTGATCTTTTCCCCAGGCTGATACATGGCTTCATTGTGAATACACGGACATTCCTCTTCAGGAATACAACCACCATTCCCATCTAACACAAGCCCAGCTGGGCACACGCAGCCAGATATACATTGCGTGCTATACTGGAAAAGTCAAGAGGAAGATATAATTTCAGAATGAAATAAACACAATAGAAAAAGGAAGATTACATTATAACAAAATATCTTTATATGGTATTATTACTACCGAGCTTAAATGGGAGAGGACTATGAAGTACTTATAGGACAATGGAACAAAAAGGAAGTTATTAGCCATTGATTTAATGGAATATAATTTTATTAAAGATAAATGTTTTATGTATGCCAATCCTGATTGCTCTGCTGGAGTCTGTGAAATTTGAAATACATTAAACTTAAGTCTTGCTCAGTGTTAGCTGAAGAAGCCTTGCACTTTGTAGTGGATGATTTGTGATTGAATGGAGCTTTAAAAAGAAAATAGGTAATATTTTTTTCAGTTTGGTTGAGTTACATTGAAATCTGTTTATCTCATATGGTACTTACCTGCAAAATGGCATGTGGCTACCATGCACCTAGGTGGAGTAATATAATTAGGTGTGCAAGAAGTTCACAACTGCATCATGGTATGAGAAAGAATGATTTCTCCTAGCCAGTTTATAGCCAGTAATTTTCTCCTAAAGAAGTAAAATGTGTGGCAGAGCCCTAGATATTTTCACCACTAATTACTGTTACCTGCGGTAGCTGAAGAAAGGGAGATACTAGTATTATGAATTAAACTGGATGTTACTTTATTATATTTTGGTCTAAGGGTCCCATTGTTAATGCTTCATAACATGGTTTTAGGCTTTTGCTACAAGAGCAAAGTATCTGTGTTGTAGATTTGGAGTAGATCAGATAGATCAATTACTTTAGCACCAAGACCATGGACAAAACCTGGAAGCACGATTTCGTCCAGCCATGACATACTTACACACTGCATATCCAGAGTCTGGCAACTTTTTTGACATTCTGCTCCAGTTGTTCCTGCAGTGATGTTTCTACAGTCAAAGTAGACCATGGGAGATTCACAGACTAGAGGAAGGAAAGAAGTGAGAGCAGTAAGAAATGGTGCAGGGTTTATCCCACAGCTGTAGCCATTAAAACCATCTAGAAATACTATGGAAATTGTGTATTTCAGTTAGTAGGGATTGCTGTCCCTATTCAATCTGCTAAATAGATTCACTTCAGAGCACTGAATTCCCCGAAAACCCCCCACAGTATTTCAGAAAAAAATCTTTATGAAAAAGAGGTTTTATCATTAATCTAGGTTCACTCATGTCTTTTATGATAACTGTTGTACTATAACTAAATGAGAAATACTTCTATTATTTAAAAATCCGTTAAGAAAAATCAATACTATCAACTATTTCTGTCCAAAACCTGGCACAGAGAAAAAGATAAGCGGAAGGTTTTTTTACCTGGAGTTGGATTGGGTGGTCCAATGCAATTCAGTCTTCCCTGGATGCAAGTGCTGTAAGAGAGGGAAAAATGTATTTTTTTTTCCTCTCAAACCATGTATTGAGACTGAGAGCTACTTCTTTCTTGTCAAGTTTCAGAATTTTCAAATGAATTCCAGAATGCTGTTTTGCAGTCTCAGGAAAGAATTTCCCTCAATACCACTACCAGTGCTGCTTTCATATGATATCCATTATTGCTTAACATGAAAAATCATGGGTTGAAATGAGTATATGTCTCTGCTTGTTACTTACTTTGTCATAAGATCTTTCCTTGCTGGTGGTGTCATAATTTTATGCTTGAAAAATCATGGAATTAAATAGAAAATGCACCTAAATACAATTGCTCTATCAATCTGGAAATATCACAGAATCATAGAATCATGTAGGTTGGAAAAGACCCTTAAGATCATTGAGTCCAACCATAAACCTAACACTGCCAAGTCCACCACTAAACCATGTCCGTAAGTGCCACATCTACATGTCTTTTAAATACCTCCAGGGATGGGGACTCAACCACTTCCCTGGGCAGCCTGTTCCAATGCTTGATAACCCTTTCAGTGAAGAAATTTTTCCTCATGCCCAATCTAAACCTCCCCTGGCACAACTTGAGGCCCTTTCCACTTGTTAGCCTCCTTTTCTGCAGGCTAAACAACCCCAGTTCCCTCAGCCGCTCCTCATAAGACTTGTTCTCCAGACCCTTCACCAGCTTTGTTGCCCTTCTTGGGACACGCTCCAGCACCTCAAAGTCTGTCTTGTAGTGAGGGGCCCAAAACTGCACACAGTATTTGAGGTGTGGCCTCACCAATGCCAAGTACAGGGGCACGATCGCTTCCCTCCTCCTGCTGGCCACACTATTTCTGATACAGGCCAGGATGCCATTGGCCTTCTTGGCCACCTGGGCACACTGCCGGCTCATATTCAGCCAGCTGTCGACCAACACTCCCAGGTCCTTTTCCGACAGGCAGCTTTCCAGCCACTCTTCCCCAAGCCTGTATCATTGTTGTTGCGTCCCTGTCTTCCAGCTCAGGGGAATATGTATCATTCTTAAAGGTCAAAAATAAAGTTGAAAAAATATGAGAGAGCATTGTATTGAAATTCAGGCAAGGCAGGGTGAGACCAGTATAGATGTTGCAGATTTTAATGAAAAAATATACTATTGCTTGAGTGTTTTGCAAAAGATTCACTTACCATACAAGCCCATTGTCATGGACAATCTCTCCAAATAGTATGGGAGATCCTCTGTAGTAGCAGGGGCATTCATTAGCAGGCACACATTTGCCACTCTCATCCATGTAGGTTCCATTTATGCAAGTGCAGCCATCAACTGGAACAAACTTAATGTTGCACGTGACATCAGGCTCACTCAGAGACCGACAAGTGGGTTGACAGGAAGAGATGGTATAGCTGTAGCTTAGGGATTTGGGACATGAGGTGGTGTATTTTGCTTGAGAGAGGAAAATAGAACAGGTTTGTTAATTCTAGATGGTAATTTGTGGTGGGAAAAAATAAACCATAGTAAAATAACATGTAAACAATACTGTACATCTCTGCCTATGTTGCATCTTTCATGCAAACGTACTTCTGAATACTTCCAGAGTTAGACCTGAAAAGCTACTGTACATGTGGAATAAGTGATGTATGCAAAGAAGAAAATATTTTTTCAAATGAAATTTTGGAAAGAAACCTCCATTTGGCGCTGCCATTCATTGCCAAGACTTATAAACCTTTTGAAGTACGAGACAAGAGGTCTCCCTGAATGTCTCCTTGTATGCTGAAAACAGACCTACTGGATCAGTGAAACCCAGCATGCAGCTTCAGAAACCTTTCATTTGCAAGTGTTGTGGTTAGTATTACTAGTACTGTTATTCTAATAAGTCACATTTTCTCTACAATAACTTGTGATACATAAAGCTGTAGTGAAATTCAAAGTTGCGCAGAAACAGGTGGAGGCACTTCCATAACAGCAGTCTCTTTCCTAAGCAAGCTACGTCTCCCATCTATTTGTATTCACTCTTGCTAGCAATGGATTGATTCTAAGGGAACAGCAGATAATTACTTCCAGGAGTGCACTTAAAAAAATCCCTTCCTCAACACTTACTATATTTGTCTAGAAATCAGTATAAAATAACCTCTGATTAGCAGTTTTTACTGACGTGTTCTTAGGAAAGGGGATAGTTAAGAGTACTTACAGCAGACGTCAGTCCTCCATCCACGCAGCTGGATTCCTTTTGCAGCACAAGCTCTCACATAGGAAGACAGGGCTGCACACAGACAGTCCTCACTATTTTCACAGTTACATGTGTCAAACATGCAGTTCTAAGAATGCAGAGAAAAATAAAGTCTCAGCCCTCGTAATATTGTCAATCTAAAAAAAATGAATGTTACCTTTACGGTCTTATGCACTAATCCTTCTTCACATATGCTCACTCATTGACAGCACTAACATAGCTTTATCACTTTCCAGTCTTTGTCTAAGTTTCCTGGCAGGGGAGAATGAAGGTAATGGAAATTCAGTCGATGTCTGCAGTTATTATTGGGAAATAATGGTCTTAAAGTCTGTTATACATTTAACAGCTTCATGTTCCTCTGAACCATATTTATGAATATGTTACACAACAGCATACAAAGCTCTATTGACAGTACGCAGTCTAGACATGTCATTTCACCAGTGTCCATACCTGGATGATTCATAGTGAGAAGAAAGATTGGCAACACATTGATAGCAGAATGATGATAATTAGCTAATGGGCCTTCTGTGCCAAGTAGTTATTAATGAGGTACGATGCTGATGAGACAACAATTCACTGATATTCAAACAAGCGTTTGACATGCCTTTACATACACTTCCTACTATATGTGTAGATCCATCCAGGAGTAAATAGCTGCCTTTTCATTTGCAAGCAAGTCAGGATCTTGAAGCCAAGACTGACAATTGAAATAAGGTAATGTTACAACACAAACAGAAACACATGTTGAAAAAAGGAAGTGCTGCAGTACAGAAATGAAAATACAGGCATTGCGTAAGACAAGAGACACGTCTGGAACAGTCCTTTTCTGGTAGCTAGCTGTAATGATCCTATTTCTATTGTTTCTAAAGGGAAAAACAGTCTAACAAAGTACCATGTGGTAAACAGAGGGATTCACTGCATAGTGACAATCAGCAAAAGGTCCTTTGCTGTCAGTTAGTAGTCCACACCAATGCTGAGCATATTTTTCTGTAAAGAGAACAAACAATACAAATGCACATTACTCTTTGTATTTCATTAGTCACAAAAACACACTCCCTGTTTATAAGGCCAGTTCTGAAATTACATCAAATCTCTCCTTGTCCTGTCTTTTTTTTTCTCTCAGCTTGGGGGCTAAGTTTCCTAAATCCAAAGAAGAGGACTTGCTGAAGGGGATGAATAAAAGATTTCCAAAGATACTCCTGCAATCCACTCTTCTGACACCAAGTTGTCAGCTTAGACATCCTCTCTGTTTTCAGTGACCATACAGTTTCCTTCAGTTATGTTTCTATGACTCTTCCTTTACTTTGTTACTTATCCCTAGTGCTTTCATTTTGAATATTTGTTTTGATTTCAGATGTATGTTTTTACCAAGTATATAAGTCTTTATTCTCTTATTTTTGCTTTCCAACATATGTGTTTTCCTTAGGGATGAGCAAAAATAACCTAGAAAAAATTCTAAGAAACACGCACCATTATCAATGCTGAGGGCACAAGGGTTCTCAAAACTGCGCTGGATATTAGGGCATGAAGCCTGAGTTCTCCACGTATTAGCAAATGCTGTTGCTGTTCCTTCAATTATTCCATTTATGGCCTTGAAGTCATCAGTTTGGATATTATTGAAATTTCCACAGAGACCTGTTGAAAAGCAGTGAAAAGTTTATACTGCCTATACTAACCAAAAGACATTAAGCAAGATGTTCTTATATTTCATTCACTTACCACAGGTCTGGTCTTTGAAAATAGGATCCAGTCGCACAAACACTTGCATGATGGGTGTGATTTGGATTTCAAGGTGGACGCCAAAGTTTGTCTGTATGATGATGAAGAATGATGAAGGTCTGAACACAGTGGCATTAGCTACAGATGAAAAACAGAATGATCACTTTCTAAACGAGGTTGAATGCTGAAAACAGTGCATCATTATACTATTCTTCTTTAATTTCTATCGCAATTGTTGCAAATTCTGAGGTGGAATAAAGCCAATCTTTATGAAAATGAATCAGAAATATAAATCAAAATTTACAGTTCAGAATTTGGTTGTAGCTACCAAGTTGTTAACTTTATTTGCTGTCTCAACATTAAGCAGTAGGGGATTACTCTTTCCAAGAGAATAAGAAGGAAAAACTGTATGGCACTGAGCGTTAAAAAGAATACTTCTATTTTTCTTTCTAAGCTTGCACAGCATACATTGGAGCCCTCATATTGCTGGAGAGGGAAACTAAGCAGATCTGGAGGTCAGAGATATCGCATAGAATCATTAGTTATTGAGACAGAGAGAAATGAAATTTCTATCTGAGGAAGCGTGAGCACAGGGGTGGTAAGTTAAAAAAAAAAGAAGAGGTAGAAGAGGTAAACAGATGTCTTCTGTGTTCAATTTTGGCCAGTGAGAAGTAAGTAAACCTTACAGTGATCAAATCAGGAGAGTGTAAATGCTGTTTGCTTCTGTTTGAACTCTTGTCTATGCTTGTACTGTCTTCCATTTCTTTATGACACCAAACTTCTCACTTCTACTTAAGAAGCACTTGGGTGACCCAGGAAATACACGAAAGAGAATCGGGGTGTGAACATGCAGGTTCTGAACAACTCACACTCCTTTTATCTTCCATAGTTTAAGAAAATAAGCAGGTGTGGAGTTGAAGTTCTGAGCTTATTGCTCACAGACTGTTAGAGAAAAAAATACCTGCTGAGATGGGCAGCTGGGTGTAGATCGAGTTCACAAACACACCACCATCAGGTTTGACTTCGATGAGCTGATAAGGAAGAGGAACAAGAGGCAACTGTGTGAAGCATCACTATAGTCCAAAGAGTAATAATGGTGATGACTCCAGTGATATTAATTAAAAAGATATTAAATAAAAGGGTAGGTTTTTGTGATTTCACCTCCTCCCTCTTTCCACTTTGTACACCTAATTTTCCCTGCCATAAAAGAATTACTTTTAAAGAGACTTTCTCAACTCCTTAGGGAATTAGATCATCTTGGTTTCTTTGAACACAACTTTGTGATGAATTACATCCCTTACTGTTGTACTTGTAGTTTCTTACCTAAAAACTCATGGCTTTTCATCTAATTGGCAGAGAAAATAGCTTTTTTTCTGCTTTGTGAGTACAGTGTTTTTCTTAATGAACTTCCACAAAGCCAAATTTACTGCTGATCTGATTTTCATAACAAAATCAGTTTCTTTTCACTTGATTAAAAATAACATGTACTTATCACATATGTTGACCATTTGAGAGAGAAATGCAGTTTCCTGACTGATCAAGGCCTAGCTTCTTTGCTCCCCGTATTTTTAATAGCTGTTTCCCATGCTTATTTTGCATTCTTACAGTTTGTCCTTTATTCATGTTGAGGATCACTGTCTTTAAGCATGTCTCAGTGTCTGTTAGGCCACATTTGCGTAGTTCTACCAGGATGGTGAACGTTTCATCTTTACAGTGCTGAAAAAAAAATGCCAACAGTTATTTCATGAAAGGTTAATTACAGAAGCTTTCACTGTAAAATTTTCTCTCAACTCTGAAGAAATAGTTCTGTTTCTGGAGAAGATCCAGACTCTCCCAAATCCCAGGCCTTCTTTGGCCTAAGACTCAGTTTTGCCTTTTGTAATGATTAGGAACAATGAGAGAATTAGAATCTGGTTTTGCATTTTATTGACGATATCCATATTTGGAGTTTTTATTCATGCCGACTTCTAATGTTTGATTCAATTCTACTGCATTGCTCATCTTTCTGTATCTGGTATCAATGCTAGACAAAAATTTCAGATAAAACATTTTTCAGGAGAACAGTAACATACAGCATTTTTTTTTTTATGGAATTGTGCAGATGGGGAAAAAGGAAAGCAAATAACAAACAAAAAAAGTCACTAAAAGATCAAAACATTTCATTTGCACATTGCTGTAATTAAATATTTTTATTATAATTAACTTTTAATTTTTCTATTTCTTTTGACTTATTTTTAAATCTGTTTAAAAATGTTCAAAACATAAATGAAATGTATCAGTTGACTTGAACTGATTTTCTGTACTTGAACTTCCCAGAAATGAAATAAAAATATTAGTCTTATAAATTAAAATTTTTTTTTTTCACAACTATTAGTGTAATTTTTCAGACTTGTACCATTTGACCCAATACCATATAATATAGTAACATGGTAAAAATTATGCAACTCAGTAAGAAAGCTGGATTAATCACACTGAAGAATGTAGACTAAGCAAGTTCTTAAAAAAGGCAATGCTCTTGAGCAATTACTATATCACAGAACTAGAAATTCCCCAGTAAACACCATATACTGTTGCATGAAATCCTAATAGTTAACTGATGATTGTCATTTGAATGGCAGCATATGTTGTAGTAAACATCTGGCTAAGTGAGAGGCAATTTAACATCTGTATGTCGAAAGAGGTAAGTTTCAAAAGTGTTGATTGAGATCACCTTTTCTTTCTATAAATATATGAGACTTTATGACCTAGTAATATCTGATTCCCACCTTAGAAAGGACGTAAGTGCAGTCTCCATGGTGATTGTAGTGTTTTTTATCATAGGTGGAAATGTGCGAACCTCCCTCTACTGAACATGTTCCTGGGCATGACGTGTCTTGGCAGCTCCACTGGCCTCCATTACAGGTACTGGAAGAGAGAGAATAAAGTTAGCTGAAATCAGGAACAGTGGTCCAGAGTAAAAGGAATTACAGTGACATTAGGTTCAGCTATTTCGCTACTGTTTTTCCCTTCAAGCAGTAGTCTGACACACAGTAAATCTGGGTTTAAGACTTTCCAAAACATTGTGAACATGTGTAAAAGGAATTACTCTGGTATGCATTCACTTTGCTTATTTAATTATTTTCCTTCTTTGAACAGGTGGACTCTCCAGCAACAGGTATTGGATGAGTAATTACTTGTTTTTTGCAGCTAAATAAAGTACAATGACAAATTAAAATCTCTTCTGTTTTGTTATACAAACGTATCAGAAACTAACAGAAATGTAACCCCACATCTACTCCTGATGCAGAGCATATCTGTTTTCTAAGGTGATGTGGTAGTGCACAGGTACAGGATTAATAATTGTGAAATTGAGGTTGTATTGTGTCATCCCTTGCTTTCTCCAGAGAAAATAAATATTTGCAAATACATAAATGACTGCAACTTCGTTCCCCTTAGAGAAGTCCAAATGTTTGAACAAAATAAACAAAGAGGAAGCATTTTAATTGACTGGTGAGAAATCTAAACATTGTAAATCCTTGCTTTGATCACCTTGAGTTAGAGTGCAAAACTAGTTAAGGATGTTGCTATATGAAACAAAGAATGTTCTTTAGTGATATTTTGGAACTGTAGCAGTCAGTTAACTACACATATCAATTACCAATGATGCAATTGCATATAATAAATAATTACATATACAAGAGGAAATAGTAAGTTAGAAAAGTAACAAAGGTTACCAGGAATGGCACTGCTCTGAAAAAGAAGTTCCTGTAGCATAGGTGTTGCCATTGTAAACACAGGAGCACTGCTGACGGGGAATGCAGCCAGAATTGTTGATGTCATCAAATACAGTCCCTAGATTAAAAAAAAGACAAAACCTTGATCAATTAAAGAGGCATTTCCTATACACCGTTTTTGTTTGTTACAAATCCTAAATATCATCTTAGAGACAGATCTGCAGCTGTCATGAATGGATATACCTATGCTGAGGACAGTAGGACTATGCCAATTTGCACAGCTAAGGATTCAACCTTTGTATTCTTAAATTCCACCTGCTTTGAAAGAGGGACTTATTGTAGCACAGGTGGCTTGTTGAGAGGCTGGACTTGATCTGTTTGCTGTTCTGCTTTCCTGCTTTCTGAATATTGCACATGTATTGGCAATAATTCAGATATCTTTTCTCAGCTGAGACATGATAATGCTTGTCACTTGCAGCTGTGAAAAATGCAAATGCAGGAGGCTTAAATCCCATTGAACCTTCCCAAATCCTACAGGTAAGCTGTTGTTGTTCTTTGAGATCAGAGATATGAGTACATAAGAACTTGCCTGGGGGGCAGAAACAACCATCCATACAGTGTTCTTCACAAAACTGAGATCGTTCAGGGTTGGTGCATGTGTCAGCACAGGGGGAGCTGCACTCCTGGTATTGCATGTTGTACGGACACTTCTTGGCTGAAATTTTAAAGGAGGAGATATTTTTTTTTAAGTCAAAAGTATTTCTATTTCACTGTATATGAAAATATTTATATTCATTTAAGTTTTTCAGCTAGATGTAAAACCACACTAAACTGCAAGTCCACCACCAGCTCTCAAAATTTGCAAATTTAGTCACCTAGATCTATATTTTACAGTTGAGATATGCTTTCCATGACTGTCTGGTGTTGAACTGGCTCAATGATTGGATTTCTGGGGACAGCAAGGTAATGACCCCACAAAGTCAGCAAGGCCTATGTTTCTACTGAAGGCACCCTTCTCATGAACACCTGTATTGCTAGTGAAATGTAAGATTTAAGTTTCTAAAGCTTTAGTATATTTGCATTTTTCAGATACCATTGGAAGGGCAAATAGTACCTCATGGAGTTTTGTTTTGTAGCAAATGCTGGTGACAGTATCAACAGCTACACCTCATAATCTAGTATGTGTTTAATTCAGTGCAAATCTCTATGAAGATTACAGTGGTGCAAACTCCTCACTACCAAGCAAGAGGAGATAAATAAGTGCTTAACCAGCCAAACACCTGTGAAACCCAATCAGTTAATAATTGAGAATAAAAAATGCTGTAGCCACCATGAGAACAGGATAGAAACAGGAATACAAGCAAGCAAGTACACCTCATTTTTTCTCCTTCTTTCTCCTTTATTTGCTTCCTTTACTGTCCCAGTTAATTAAATAACACTTTGACTCTCAATTAGAGTATCCATGTAAGTGTTTGATAGTGTTTAATCCAGTTTGCATTAAAACCCTTAGCTCTTTTGCTGAAGTCTTCATGCTGGAACTTGTGTATCAGAACCCTCTGGAGAATACAATCATCTTGAATGGCCTGTAATTTCTTATGCATCCTCAGCATCATTTGGGAGCTTGTTGTTTGTTAGTTACTGAACATAAAGTAAGGCTATCTCCAGTGATACTTACAGCACAGTTTTGAGGTTCTCCAGTTCAGAGGATGCCCCCCAGCATGAGCGCACTGCCGGGAGTATTCAGCGAAGGTGTCACAGACACATGAGGCGTTTTTAGACTCTTCAGAGCGGCACAAGTCATCTTGGCAAGCCATAATGTACTCTCTAACATCAACTAGGTCATTACACTCTGCAAACGCAGAGCTGGTCAATGTTTTCTGGCATATGTCATCCTTGGGAGAAAAAAAAATTAAACAACTTCCAGAAAATAGAAAGGAGCAATTTTTTGGGTATTGTTACTTTGTATAATTATTTTTTGACAGAAACTTATACCCCTCTTTAAGATGCTGTCACCCGAAGGCTTTTCCTGTTGACTCGTCTGAAGCTGTAGAAGGGTACAGATAAATTTGAAAGAATAATAAAAGAATAGTCAAAAGATCCTTACAAAATTATCAGTGCAATTATCTGGCAGGGTAGAAATGGAGTCTTCACAGTGTTCTGTTGGCCCATCCATTTTCTGCATATTCCCAAACTGCAAGGCTGTCATCTTAATATCTGTACAAAAGAAGTTTAAGAATGAAGGTTGGGTTTTTTTGTTCAACTGCCTGTTATCTTTTTCGCCTGTCAAGAATTCTGCTCAAGACTGGCCAAGGCAGCTAGTTCCCTTAAGTCTTTAAATTTGATCATCATCCCTTCCAAAGGAAGCACTACACCACTGTCTCAATTTACCTTGCATAGCACCCTGGAAAAAGTAAACATTAGAAAACAATTCTCAGCCTATTACATCTAGATGCAAACTAAGATTTTTACCAGAAAAATAACAAACTGTTTTCAGATTATATTAAGCCCAGGCAGGGAAGAGAGAAAAGAATCTAAACAGGAATTTGGACAATGGAGATTGCTTTGAGACAAAGTTTAGGAAAAAGCTCAAGCTGGGAATAGATAGAATGATGAAGAGGAGATCTTACAAAGATTATGTAATTCAGCAGGCAAATGTGGATATACCAATTTTAAGACAGAACTGAAACAATAAATGTACTGACTAGACAATGTAATTGCCTTTTGTTTCATTGAATATATTTCTATATTTATGTTATTAGTGAAAAACTGACACATTTTTATGGGGTTAGCTGATTAGGTAAATAAAACCATGGCATACAAGAAATATGCAATCAGTTGTTAGCACTAGTACTATATTTATACTTAAAGTATTAAATCACATTATCTGATCTCTGTACTACATATTTTTCAACAGAGATTGAATCATATCTTCTGGGTAAATCATTTAATAGGATAGGAAAGAGGAATGCTGATGATGTTAGAGTTAAAAGAATACAAAAAGAAGCATGTTGGAGACTCCAGAAACCAATTTTTATTATTTATTTTATTATTTTAAAAACTTACTGCTTGAATAGAACTCATTGTAAATTGGAAAGCCATTGAAGTCCCCACAAAGTCCACAGGTCTGATTGGCATATTTCTCATTCAATTCCAGCTAAAATGATGGACAGTAAGTTGATAGAAGTTGGTATAAGCATTCTAAAATATATTCAAGACCACTGAAAGTAGCTGCAACTGCTACCTCTAAGTATTTTTCATCACATCTGTGTAATTTTATTTAGCAATCTAATTCAAACCTGGGGGATAGAATGAAGAGTTGGCTTGGATTTGATTTACAATGCAGAGTCCAAGCTATTAATGCTATTGATGCAGACTTAAGTTTTCACTGTAATATCTATATTGCTCTCAGCCTCTTTCTCTCTATTCATTCTTCAGAAAGAAAATAAAATCCACAGCAAAAATGAAGTCCTAAGAAAGTGAAATTCTCCTAGAAAATGATATATGAAGGGGTAAGGCCCTATAACAATGCCAATATGTTAATGATATAACAAAAGTGATTTTTCACCTTATTTTAAGCAGACGTCTGCTATCCACTAGAAGTAAATCCATGTACTTTTCTTTAGGACTACCTGGAGGCAAACCTATCTTTATTGAGAAAGAATTGCTCAACAGTATGAGATGGGAAGGCAACAGTAACCCCCTAAACAGATAGGGATTGGCCTAATCAAAGATTAGCTCTAGTCTCTGAAGATGTAGACAGGTTCAAGAACAGTTCTTACCAGGATACTGTCATCTTCATTCCACATTAACACAATACCCATTTTGCTGGCAACTTTCACATAAATGCTGCTTTTCTCTATCGTAATTCCAGATTGGCTGTATGGCAGTTGAACTCTGGGAAAAGGCAGAAAGAACGCTAGGTATTTTCTGATTCAGATGTTTGATAAAGAGAAAAAAAATGGCTTGTGGTATCCAGCATCTGTAGAGATTCTAAAATAATGCAGTTGTGTGGAAAGAAAAGCAATTGAAAAATAAGATGGTCCAATGTCATCAAATATGGATCTGAATTTAGATCCAACCTCTCAGGATTTTTCATCCAAATTTTATTTTTGAGGTAATCTTTAAGGGAAGGATTGATTTACTGTGCAAGGAATTAATAGCAACTTATTCGTTATTTATGTTGGTAAAATTGTCAGATTTATTGAGTAACACATAATCCCCCCCCCAATATACCAAAGTACTTGGCAAGTTTGAAAAAAAGGTCTGTGGTTACCAAACAAGTGTTATGAATAAACTTACTTGTTGCTGTTGATCAGGACAACATCCTTTGTTAGTTCAGCAGCTACACCTTCAAGTTTCATGATGATACGGTTGATTGTTGGAGCATTTTCCACCACTATGCGCCTAATCTGGATGTTGAAATCCTCATAGGGAGTGTTGCAATGGGATGCAAAAACATAATTACAGAGCCCAGGGAAGGAGAATATGTCTCCATCAAAGGTCTTGAAGTGGAAGTTGCCCCATGTGCTGCACACGCGGCCATTGTGAGCAGGATTGGAAGCTGTGAATTAAAACTAGCTGTAAAAAAATGACCTAAAATTCCCAGCCTTAACATGGTGAAAATCAATTTGTCCAAGGCTTCATCTTGACATTGAATAGTTTTCACCTGCCTACCTTCATTTGTTATTTTCTGTCCATCATAAAACTGTGTATTTATTCTTCACTCATCTTATATCTGTTACTCATCTTATATACCCCTATAAATGATTATAGTTATGTTCAGCTAGAGCTTTATTAGTTGTCCACATTTCAGCTACGATAACTGTTCAATATTATGTTTCTTAACCACCTCCTTTCTCCTCTTAATAATCCATGACTTCCTTTACCAGTGCCTTTCTCTATTTGTATTAGATTCCTCTGTCTACATCCCGTAAAATTAAAACCTTATTGAATACATTTCATTTCCTTTACTTACGTGTTATTACTGGATTTGTCAGCATTGGCTGGATGATGTTCACCTTAGATGAAACTGTAGCAGAAGCTAGAAAAAAGTAAGAAAGAAAAGAAAAACTAGAATAACAATACCAAAATTTGCACCTAAAATTGACCTAGAAAGGACTAGAAAGTTAATATGCCAGATCAAATGAAACAACGTTAAACCTGTTTTGTTTTACAGAGGCCATGGATTAGGTTAAAATTGCGTACCAAAATTCAAAATCAGGATAGTTAAATCATAAGAAATTGCTTTCAGTTGTGATGATCTGCATTTTCTACCTTTTAATTTTGAATCTTTTATGAAACTCTGTATTGTGTTAGGAGAGGCAGAAATTCACAGCTCTGCATATTGAAGTGCTTCAGACACACTGAACAATACAAAGGGTTAAGCTGTATTAAATTAGCCTGTTACTAGTACAAAAGCATAGTTGCCTTCTCATTATACCTTCTCTTTCTAAGGAGGGAATAAAAACTTTAATTATCCCCTTTGCTCTCTGTTTAATATTTTTCTGTTAAGGGGCTGAAAACCCTTAGAAATGACCACAAATCTGTTGTACAGGATGATCACAAATCATTACATGGTAAAAATCAATGAAGTTGGGTTGCCACCTTGATTTCCCAACATCAGCCACTGACTTTACAGCTTGCCAAAATGGTCTTATTTCCTTGTTTATAAGGAACCAAACATCCTGCATGTATATTCCACTTTGATTTTATATATACATATTCATGCACATATGCATACAACCTCTACAAACACACATCTGTTTTCTTAGTTACCTATTATTATACAAATATAACCATACTGTGTGTGTTTAGTAATTGGTATCCAATAAAGATATTACTATTCTTATATATAGAGAGGCTTATTAATACACATTTATCTTTATTTGACATTACCGGCAATATGCTAAGGAGGTTTTTTAGGCATTTTTATTATTTAGTAGAGATGTAGCAAATAAATACACATAAAATATGAATACACAGTATAAACGAACATACTGTTTTGCTTCTGCTGAACAACCTCAGTGTATTTGCTCCCTGTTTCCTGTTGGATTTCAATCTGGGCTCCTGTGAAGAAATTGTAAAAAGCATATTAAGTACAATGTCCTGTATCTGAACTTTTAAAGCAAAGCATTTAGATGATAGTATCAAAGGACCCAGATACATCTCTGTTAGACAAAGGGGAGAGTCCCTTATCACAGCAGAAAAAATGAAACAGGTCCCCAAAAAAGGTAAAATGTAATTATAGAAAGAGACTTTCTATTACAAATACACAGCGTTTGAAATCCAAATAACATTTCATGTATATCTGCTTTCTTCGTTTCCCTTAAAACTCACTACAAGGGATTCTAATGACTGGATCACAGCCCTTGTTTCACTCCTGCACTAAATCTCACCAATATGTGAAACAATTACAGGAAGAATTCACAAAATGTAACCGAGTCATTTATTAAAATTGCTGTGTAGCTGCTAAGTAATAATAAGAAAAGGCATAGAACTGGTTAAAAGAAACAAGACTTAGGGCTTGATCCAGTAATGGCTGCAGATATTTATATGTCAGTTTCTTTAGTGCCTAAGCATAGGGCCTTTTCTTCTGGAGCAAATCTAAAGCCTCAATCAGGGGTCTAGATTTGCTTTACAACTGGATGTAAGAAGGTACTTCTGAGCGATAATACAAGGGCCCATAGCCTGAGCAGTAACCCAGGAGAAGTAACCCAAAGAACCAGGTTTCCTGTTCTACTCCTCTTCCCACTCTGAGATGGTTCAAACTCACATCTTCTCTGCAGAAAACCTTAAGCATCACACTGTAACTCTATTTGACCAAGGGTTCTTGCTACCCCACCTGAAGCTGAGACATGGTGCCAAAAACAGTGGGACAGTGACAAAGGAAGAAAAAGTAGGCCATGATCACGTGACCACATGGTTAGGGCACTCAGCTACATCAAAACTGTCCTATTCTTGTGCCTTGCTTCAAGGATTATTTTTGTACCTCCAGTTAAATGGTTGCTGGATCAACTACATGAACTGTCTTCCAGATGAGTTCTCCTTCTCTCTATCGTGACTCCGTAAGTTTTTAATTCCTTTCCATGCATGGCCCAGCAATACCATACCAGAGGAGGTATTGGCAAAGACTTTTGAGAGATGACAAATATTGACCTGAACACTTTTGTGCCTAGAAAAAGACTGACCCTGAGCTCCTAGGTTGGTGCTCTAAGCTCTTGCCTTTTGTAACTAAATACGGCAGGCATTTCCTGTAAAAATAAATGGCTACAACTTTATTTTGTGAAGGACTGAATCCTGTCAGCATGTGATAACCATGCTTGGAACATGTTGACTAACATGTACCTATAACCTGCCAAGTCTAAATCCTCAAAGGATTTAGGTGATGAAATGACTAATATCTGAATCCTGATCAGGATTATGTGAATGAGCAATCTAAGTGTCTGGAGAATTTCTCAAAGAGGAACTGTCTATGTAATTTAGTCCTAAGTTAAGCCCCCTTTTTCCTTTTACAATAGGTGGGAGGAGTTCACTAACTCAGAACTGGATCCGTAACACCCATCTCACTGAACAGGGAGCCACATTGGTGGAAGAGGGGGAAACGCTGAAGTCAGGGGTGTGCCATAAACCCCCGTCCCCTTTGGTGCTTACATTCCTTGCTGAGCATTTCCTCCACTTAAGAACCTCAGCCCAGGTACGTCCATGAAAGCTGGACAACCACCTTTGCCTTAAAAATAACTGGATCAGGAGCACCTTTTCCTTTTTTAATTATTTTTCTAATAATACTTCTGGTTGTGCCCATCATGTAAGTAGATTGAGTACTTGATCCCAGAGCTGAAGGATGCCTGTCTGAAGGGATTCAAGCCCCCACTCCCAAAGAAGTCCCCAAGAGACTGCTGGCTTTGGAGGAGAGGGTTCTGGGCAGCCTCACCATATCTAGAAGTTGCTGCAGTGTCTGCAGTTTCTTTCAGACCTAAGCTTTTAATTCTTTTCTCATTTAACTTTATGTGTGACCACTAGTGATGTACAAAGAAGTAACTTAGGACAGAGTTTAACCATTTTCCATTTCCTGTTAGTCTTTCAGTATCACAGATAGTATCATTAGGTAAATGCATTCATATCATTATAATTGATACCGATCAGGTGAGAAAAACTGATACTGATCAGGTGAGACAAATGCCTCAGTAAGTCTTAATAATAGGCCAGAATTTGCTGTCACCCAACACATCTATAATAATCTCAGCAGGTGTAGAATCATAGAATGTTGTTTATTCTAGCATGAGAACCTTTGTAACAGAGCAAAATAGCATATATGTGTATTTTGATCTGTTAATTTTTCTCAAGGAAACAGCAGGGGCTTTTGTTTACTTAGCAAATACATCACTCCCAAGGAAATTCTAGCTGCATTGGTTTATTTAGCAATTGCACAATGCCACATTATTGACCATTATAAAAATAAGTGTCTCTCAGTTGTAAGAATAGTCAAGATAATTCACTATTTGATAATTTGGGAACTGACCTAATTATTAAGAACATTTCTGGATGCACCTTGTTAAGTCTACATCCAGCTGCCAAGCCACATATGCAATTATCGTTACAATCAATTTATAAAAGTTAGTATTTGACCCAAAATATAGTCAGGCACAGGATGTTTGTGAAGATGGCATGGGATTGGGCCAATATTCTTTAGTCACTCAGGACATCTGAAAATATTTTCCACAGAGTGTGATTTGAATAAAGAGGAGTTTGCTGGACACTGTCTAACCACTACTCATTTTTCAAAGCAATTTATCAGATTAGCATTGCACAGTACAAATAACTTTCTTGTTCAGTGAACGGCTGAAGATACTTTTGACTGACATTGTGTAACTCTAAATGTAAGCTAAAATTCTAAGTGACTTGTATTTTGTGCTTAAATCAACTTGCCAGTATTTTAGTGTTTATTTCACAAACTATAAAGTAGCCTAAAATTGTATTTGCACTTGTCAATGTTTTGAAAATGATATGCAAGATAAATTTACATAGGCAATCTGAAGATTTAAAAAAGTTAGCTGAAAGGGCAGTAATTACTGTATATGAATGGGACTGACTTAACAAGCTTGTACTCATGCAAGTTATTTCAATTTGAATTGTCCCATTGACTTAATAGGGCTACTCATATTAATAAAAACTGCCAAGACCAGCCCTGATGGACACAATATCGACAGGAGAAAAAAACCCATACAAAATAATGGATTGCATGTGTCAGATAAATCTCCCAGTCCTGCTCACACTCAATATCAGTAATTTATATAAGTATTTTGCATAGGGTATTATCAATGCACAATTAGTTACTGAAAATCATTGCCACATGAATATTCCCTTCTAGTCTCCTTTGCAAAAGAAGTTGCAAGAAATCTTGAGGAACCTGGTATTAGCTCCTGGCAGGTGACAAGATACTGGAAAAGATTGACCAGTGGTCTGATCTAGCAACTGGAAAATGTAGTGGTTTAAATTTCATAACAAACATAACATTCGTAATCAATCCTAATACAAAATGCAACAGGAATAAAATATTTTTGTAAGGCATAAGCGATACTGAAAAACTGACTTTTTAAGACATGAATAATGGTTCTTTTTGATTTGATCTTCAAGGCTACCTTCCAAATGTAGTTATAAGCAGTAGTTTGAGGCATTATTAAATTAAATCAATCCAGTTAATAGACAGACATTAAATATTTAATGAAAGATATAAAGAAATCTTGTTTAAATGCAATCATCTGTTAAGTGAAACAATAAAATGAGTTTAGTTGTTTAAAATATATTACTAGATCTAAACAGAGTATTTTTTCTTTTGCCAATAAAAAAGATAACTTCTTACCTATCTGATGGATACAGCAAACTCCTAACAGGAAAGCCCATTCTGGTACCCATATCCCCCTGCCAAACCCCATCTTCAGTGGAGTCTGGCACAAGGATGTCAGGTCTAAAGTTGGTCAGGAGGAGTAGTTCACCTGTACTCTGTCAGTCTTATATACTAGGTGACTTTGGCTTCAGTCCCAGACTGATTCAGAGTCTAGAAAGGTGGGGTTTGGGGGATTTTAGCAAATGAACAGGTAAACAGAGGATGCTCTTCCTTCCTTAGAAACTGGCCAATGGTATTTGCATTTTAGGAGGAGTATATACATACACTTACATATCTTTTGTTAAGGTTCAGTCTAATAAAGAAACATAACATGATTGCAAATAAAACACAACTCCTCCTCCACAAATAACAGGTCCTGGAATAAATTTAATTTGGTGTTTCTTTACAGTTATGCAGATGGCATGCAAGTAACCATTCTAAGTTTTTCAATACTGTAACTGATGCCAGGCAGCTCCTTGGCAAAAAACCCTGCTGATTTCTGAAGTCTAAGGAGGTGTGGAGTATTTCATATGTGGGGCCCCAGCATTAGGAAGTCACTCCGTGCCTTTTGGGGCAGCTAATCTTCTTGTAAAAAGAACAGACCTAATACCTTGAAGGGACCTGCGCTATCACACAGTCACACTGAGTGTATGCCATAGAAACCCTTCTGTGTGGCACTGACAAGCACTAGGCACCTATCTGAGGAACGTTAAGCCAGCTTCACCTAGGCTGTATACTACATTTATTAGAGATGTGCTTAAACCTTGAAATCTACTTCTGAATTCTCTGCATAATCTGATTTTGCCTTCTCATAGAAAGTATCAGGAGTAATTTCAGACAGTCAGACAGCGTTACACCAGCTTTGTAAGAGAAAAAAAAAGTTAGATTGATTATGGCCTGCGACCATGATCACATTGTTTCAGTATCATTCCTGTGTAATTCCATTCACATCCGTGGAGTTATGAGGACTACAAATTAGAGAAACAGGCAATGAATTGGGCCTATAAGGCTTGCCAGTAAATGTTTAATGTACTTTTTTTTCTGAACATTGGCTTTTTGCAGTTCTGCTGGTCTGTCATTTCAAAGGCAGGCATGAATGTATACTTCAATAACCACAAACAGTATTGCTACTTCATGTCACTTTATCCTTCTTTTTTAGCTTGGCATCGGAGATAGGTAGGAT